GAACTGAGGGCACGTAGGAAGTCTTGGGGCATATGTATAGCTAGGTATTGGCCTCTAGACTATTGCTAGTGATTTTGAAGCCATGGTGAGTCATTCTCGCTGAGTTTTGAGGCGTTTTGTACGCGGATCACGTGAGATTTCACTCGCGTCATCCCTATAAAGAGCGTCTACCGACGCTCTGATACTGGGTGGAAGGGTTACATTAGCTGTCAAAACAGAGTGGAGGCAGGCAAACCACACACCCACACATGCTGTTTATTTGCCCACTGCCACATCATGGTTTACAGCTTTGTGCAGTCAGTGTGCTATATACAATTTTAAAGATGGTGCAGTGGTAGAATATGAATAGATACAAAGCAGTGTGCCTTCAAAATAGCTTTGGGATCTGCAAAAATTTTTTAAGGAAAGTAAGCTGCAGGGATGTCATGTTGAACCCAAGTTGTGGCTCGAAAAATGACACTCTGAGATATACACACTGAACACTCTGATATGGCACAAACCCTGTCACTAAATGTATGTAGGCTAGCAGCTCAACAATACAGAGAAAGAAAGTAGGAAGACAATAAGATAGAATACAAGACGACATATAAGGTTTCTCTTCGGCTTCTCTTTGGCTATTTTCTTTAATCTGGAACGTATGAAACTGTTGTGCTTGGATTGTGAATAAGGTCATAGTAGGTGTGTGCATTTATCACAATGTGATATAATCTCCCACTACTACAATACATACTGTCATTATCCTCGACAATGATCCTGACTGTTGGGTTGATGAGAATACGCTCGGGTTCGACCGGTGGAAGCTGGACTAGAGTGAGTACAATATCTTCAGTTCCCTCTCCTCCTATACCATCACTGGCTAGAGTGACATTAACTGTGACTGGGACAAACTGCAGTGACACTTCGTCCATGAGAACACCATCTGGATCCATGAAAACAAAACGTGGATCTGGAGTAACAACATAGTCCACTCCGTCTGTAGGAGAAACACAGTAGAACAGGGTATACATAAATTGTGGTAAAATCAGTCATTTATTATTCCACACACCTGTTGCTGAACCAGAGCTCTGAATGTTAACATGTAAACGGAGTTGATATTGTGGATTATTCTTAGTGTAGAAAAGTGTGAGAGTGACAGTCTCTCCTTCCACAGCAGTTACTTCAGTTTGAGGCTCAGCTGATGTCAAATCACTGCTGATATTCTGTACCCATCCAAACCCTGATAGAACCAAAAAAAAGTTCAGTTCAAAACACTGATGTCAGTATAGCTTACCATAACATGAAAAGCATGATTCGGCGCCCACATTAGGTCTGTATGAGAGAGTATCAGACAGGCTACAGCAGGCCATTATTGAAACCTGTTCGCCAACACTACCAGAACCACAACGAAGTCCAGTGAAGCATGGCACAGTCTGTGCAGAGCCTGTTAGTGGATAGACCTTGTCTCTTGTATTATACATACAGTGATGATAATACACTCTGAGATAGTACTGCTATGTAGTGCTGCGAAAACAACTAGTTGTAGCCCTCCCATCAGTTACATATAATTTCCTGCGTCGCACGTGTAGCTTGGAACTAACAAAGCAGCGGAGGATGCGGTAACTGGAAAATCCCGTAGGTCGCACTACATACTTAGCTGAAATCGTCACAATGAAGCTAAGCCAGCATACTACACTGCCTTATTAGTTTGCCATACCTTGCTGAAGGAAGGTACAAAAAAGGAGGGCAGTTGCGTGGACCCAAAGAGTTAGTGACATTCTGCAAAAATTGTCCGTCCTCGCAGCAAACTTTTGGACGCTCTGGCAGCACCCGAAAACAAATCACACATGCGCAAAACAGTCCGTTACAGCGTCAGCTAAGAGCATGCGCGCAACCTGAAGTGCAAACAGAAAAATCTCATCCTTTATTGATTGTGAAGAAATCAGAGAGCTTTAAACTCACAAAAAGATGAAAGTATTGTCTCTTTGGTGAAGCAAGCGATTCTGCTGACAAGTGATCAATAGTTTATGATGATGATGCAATGTGCAATGACAATGAACTTAGTTGATTATGGAGTAACTACAATCATGTGTGGCTGGTTGGTTTGAGTTTTATAGCTGATCTGGATCAAACCTATAGTGAGACTGCTCCTGTTGGCTGGAGTAGGGAAAGAGAGAGAGAGAGAAACATAAAATCTGGTTCCTTGCAAAGATGTGCAAGTATAATGGTGAGAAAGAAGAGGTGGAACCTCCGATAAGTGACCCTCCGAGATAGGGGCGACTTCTCTACATGTCCCAACCCTATGCTATTCAACCTCCAAGATAGGGATGACCTCTCTACAAAATCGTTGGCCCCACAGTATCCCTCGTTCAGAGGTTCCACTGTATACACACACAGTTCTTTACTCTACCTCATGACTGAGCTCGACAATGAGTGGTTTGCTGGTCTGGTTGGAGGTGAGGCCATTGAGGCTGGAAATGGCCTTGTTGCCTCCCTCCTCACACATGTACTGCAGGACACAAACAAAACTGAACATCTCACAATGACTACTCAAGTTTATTAGCAGTACCGCCTATGCACATTTCGCCGAGGGTTTGCACTTCAGTACTTTTCATTTGCACTTTGGCTTGTTCACTTGCTTTTCACGCCATAACCTTTGAAGGCAGTAGTTGTACGAAAAACGCCTTTTTAAATGAATCCAGTTTAGCGATGAACCCGTTAGTATCGCTGATTTGTTGTCTCGTTACGCGTAGTCGCAGAAAACGTGATAACAGACAGACACACGTACTCAGTTACATATACGGTAACCCTCGCTGTGCTTGCGCACCGAGGGTTAATGAAGGGGTTAGCTATGGATCGAAAGAAATTAGGGGTCATGTGAAGGTATATACATGACACCATCCCATCTTTGTTCTATCGTCTATTGATTTACCGGCAAATAAAACAAGAAAAATATATAGGGGATGGTGTCATGTAGCTTTGTGTGTCTTTGATCCCCCTATATACATTTTGAAGAAAATCTTGTCACTTGCAGTGGTCTTTGTTTTGTGTATGTTGCTCATTGGCACTGTACAGGCTATCACAAGGGCTCATGTGTGTATATAGCCATGTTAGTGAAACAGGACAACCCATGCAAAGACAAAACCAGCAAGCTTTGCAATGGGACCTTTGGCAATAGTTCATCTCTTCACTGGGTTTTTCATGGAACTGATGCTGCACATATGCAATAAACCATATATAGGGGGATATTATTCTAACTAGACACACATTTACAGAAAAGGTAAGGTTCACGAGACTCGGTTACAATGGCACTGATCATAAACACACTGAATTTCTTTAGTCAGATGCCACAGCAATAGGGTCAAGATTACTAGCTGTTGTTTTCAGCAACCACCAAGCCTGCAGACTTGCTCTCCAAGATTCCTGATGGCACAAACATTGAGAGTCTGAGTAATCTGTTCCCCAAGTTGTGGGTCATGTGTGGTACCAGTCTCACACTCTCCTTCATCGAGACTGGAGATAGAGGTGGAGCAGGAGGGACTCACTCTCACCAGCAGACCGTCAAGAACGATGGACGGACCCGTGGACACCCAACTCTGAATAATGCCCACCAGGTGGGTGGAGTTTGTGGTGGGGAAAGGGTTAACAAGGGTGGAGCGGTAGGTGGTCTTGGTGGGGTTACTGTGGCAGAGAAACAGTCCTGGTCTCAGGAAAGACGGGGTTAATCCATAGCAATCGGCACAATCTTTACGGAGGATCTGGATCAAATAACTCTGCAGTTGTTTCTCAATGCGAACTGTCTTTTCCAGCTGCAGGGACTTAACAGCAGTCAGCCAAAGAACTTCTCACCAATGCACACTGCTGACTTACTCCCCAATCCAGGCAAAAGTGGAATGGTCCAAACTGAATCTGAAAGTACATCTTATCTGTATAGCGGAAAAGCATGTGTCGCCATAACTACTGACATACTCCAATTTTTACCGAAAGTAAAGGAGGCAATGATTGGAATTCCTGGGACATCATCGTTCTGAGAGATGTAGTGGAGGGTGAAATTGTGCACATATTCGTCTGTAAGGGTGATGTCATCATCCAAAACCACGACATCGGAGGTAGTTCCGGGTGGGTAGACCCTGTTGTATTGGTTCATGATGATGCCTGTTGTGGAGAGGGAGACAGTGTAGTTGATGGAGGTGGAGAGGTGGACATTGCCACTCCAGGAGATCGTCACTCCTGTGGCGTTCACAAGGAGGAAACTGACCTCCGCTGGCCTATCTGTGGGGATGACAATAATAAAATAAGGTTCGGGAAAGAGATCAGTCAATCATTGTTCCCGTCTAGTGCCTACTATGCAAGTTCTACTATCAGAGCGTCGGTAGACGCTCTATATTATAGGGATGGCACGAGTGAGATCCGCGTACAAAACTCCTCAAAAACTCAGCGAGAATGACTCACCATGGCTTCAAAATCACTAGCAATAGTCTAGAGGCCAATACCTAGCTATACATATGCCCCAATACTTCCTACGTGCCCTCAGTTCCCCACCAGAGAATTCGCGATATTCATTCAGAGACCCGCTAGCTCCTTACCCGAAGCAGTTGAAGCGTTGATTTTTTCACAGAACGTCTCCAAATTTTCCGGAGGTGTGCACGCATATCAAGCGATCGCTTGTTTCTTGCCGAAAGTCACCACGGTAGATCGTTGAGCTCTTCCACGGAACAATGCATTTGCTGCTAACTCACATCAGTGAGCTGCATGCGCCGAGAAGGGCGTTTCCCCAATGCGGTGCGCGCGTATCTCGAGCGTGAACCAGGTCCACGAGACTAAGCCAGGATGCCTGCAGAAGAACTCTTATCTTCCAGTGCCTTCTGTAAGTCAGTATACACATTTGTAACTGGCTGGCTTGCGTTTTGCTGTTGATTTGCACGAGGAGCAACTTGGCAGTGTGCGCCGTGTTACGCGGGCCTTTCCCTGCGCCTACATTCTTTGTCCCCCAGGTTATAGCAGTCTGATTACTGAAGCCTGCCCATGAAACCACCACCATATGTGCCACAACCTAATTGCTTGGAGACACTACGCATACACCCTGCTTCAGGTAGGAGCAGCCCATTAGCTTCTTCTTTCAACAGTTATCTCTACAACACCCATGAACATCAGAGTTACTCAAAATGCAGTGTTGTCATAAGGCGTGAAAAATAGTGGAAACAAGTGGAAAAATCAAAATGAAGGGGGGTATAGGGATGGCTTGAAGCACCAAAAAGGAAGAAACAAGGGGTCATGACCACCATCCCTATATCTCTGTGTTATTGTTCACACGTAAAGTTTAATATGAGACAAAGATATAGGGATGGTGTCATGTAGCTTTGTGCATCTTTGCTGTGTAATGACCCCTTGTTTCTTCCTTTTGGGTGCTTCAAGCCATCCCTATATCCCCCTTCATTTTTAAGAAATGATTTTTCCACTTGTAATATCATTACCATCAGAGTCCTGAATGCAGATGTGTAGAGAGGCAGTAGTCAGTTGTACATCGGGAGGTCCACTCAGAGACAAAGTGAGGTTCTCCACTCTCTCAAGTCCCAGAACATCTGCTATGGCCTGGAATCTCACACACGGCTCAGTCATAGTTTCAGTGATGGTCACTTGTGGCGTGATCAGATTGAAGTCTGTGTATAATCATGAATACTACTGGAACCCTCAGTATGGGAATTATTCTACAGAATATATACTTAAAATTGAGCTTGTGCTAAGAGTCTAAGCATCTTTACCTTCAGGTCCAGCAGTTCCATGAGTGACTGAGATAGTTAGCACAGTATCCACTGCAGGAAATCCAACAGTAGTCAGACAGATCTCCTGCAACACACCCTCTGGGATACATCCATCTTCCGGCATCCTGAACCCAGTCTGAACTGTGACAATGAAACAATCCGCAATTCAATATGAAAGATAACAATTTGATTCAGTCATAATGATACAGTAATGTTGTATGTGATTCTAAACATGTGCAATATTTTAGCTACTCACTTCGCTTGCCAACAAATGTAATTGTTCTAGTTATAGAGATTTGGCAGCATTATCCCATTAGACCTTCTTACTTTCTGCCCATTGCATCTGTGGGCTTGACAAGGGTTTGCTGGATCTTCCTCTTAAACCTTGACCTACTATGCTTTCCTTATGCCAAACTTCACCTGCACTAGTGTACCCTTCATGTAGCAAGAGTACAGAGGGAAGGGTTCATTAGCTGTCAAAACAGAGTGGAGGCAGGCAAACCACACACCCACACATGCTGTTTATTTGCCCACTACCACATCATGGTTTACTGCTTTGTGCAGTCAGTGTGCTATATACCATTTTAAAGATGGTGCAGTGGCAGAATCTGAATAGATACAAAGCAGTGTGCCTTCAAAATAGCATTGGGATCTGCACAAAAGTTTTAAGGAAAGGAATGTCATGTTGAATAAACCCAAGTTGTGGCTCGAAAAAATGACACTCTGAGACATACACACAGAACACTCTGATATGGCACAAAACCTGTCACTAAACGTATTATGTATTATTATGTAGGCTAGCAGCTCAACTATACAGAGAAAGAAAGGTGGAAAACAATAAGATAGAATAGAAGACGACATATAAGGCTTCTCTTCGGCTATTTTCTCTAATCTGGAACGTATGAAACTGTTGTGCTTGGATTGTGAATAAGGTCATAGTAGGTGTGTGCATTATCACAATGTGATATAATCTCCCACTACTACAATACATACTGCCATTATCCTCGACAATGATCCTGACAGTTGGGTTGACGAGAACACGCTCGGGTTCGATTGGTGGAAGCTGGACTAGAGTGAGTACAATGTCTTCAGTTCCTTCTCCTCCTATACCATCACTGGCTAGAGTGACATTAACTGTGACTGGGACCAACTGCAGTGACACTTCGTCCATGAGAACACCATCTGGATCCATGAAAACACTAGCTGGATCTGGAGTGACAACATAGTCCACTCCATCTGTAGGAGAAACACAGTAATCATCAAAGCATGCAAAACAGTATAACAGTCATCTAATTAATAAGACAAACAACACATAACTAAATACCTGTTGCTGAACCCAGAGGTCTGAATGTTAAAGTCTATTCGGAGGGAATTTGGTGGATTATTCTTAGTGTAGAAAAGTGTGAGAGTGACAGTCTGTCCTTCCACAGCAGTTATTTCAGTTTGAGGCTCAGCTGATGTCAAATCACTGCTGATATCTTGTACCCATCCAAACCCTGATAGAGCCAAAAAAGTTCAGTTCCAAACACTGATGTCAGTATAGCTTACCATAACATGGAAAGCATGATTCGCCGCCCACTGTAATTCTGAATGAGAGAGTATCAGGCAGGCTACAGCAGGCCAATGTTGAAACCTGTAGGCCAACACTACCACCACAACCAAGTCCAGTGAAGCATGGCACAGTCTGTGCAGAGCCTGTGTTAGTGGATAGACCTGGTTTCTTGTGTATACATACTGTGATGATAATACACTTTGCGATAGTACTGCTATGTAGTGCTGCGAAAACAAGTTTATTCACTAGTTGTAGCCCTCCCATCAGTTATATATAACTTCCTGCAGCACACGTGTAGCTTGGAACTAACACCGCAGCGGAAGATGCGGCGACTGGAAAAGAAAGCTTTAATTAGCTGTACATGTAAGCAGTGATCCCGTAGGTCGCATGGTAGCTAGCTAGCTACATACGTGTAGCTCTATGAAAATGCAAACACAGTGAAGCTAAGCTAGCATACTACACTGCCTTATTAGTTTGCCATACCTTGCTGAAGGAAGGTACAAAAAAGGAGGGCAGTTGCGTGGACCCAAAAAGTTAGTGACATTCTGCAAAGCGACTTTGGACGCTCGGCAGCACTCGAAACAAATCACGCATGCGCAGATAGTCCTTTACGTGAGACTAGACTCGAACGCTGAGCGTCAGCTAAGAGCATGCGCACAACCAGAAATTAAGAAGGAGACATTAAAAACAGGGTGGCAGAGTAAAGGCAAACATTTTAAAACCATTAAAAATACTCACAAACCTGGGATATTTTGTGATCGGACTGCGATTATTGCTTCAGTGACAATGATATCAGAACTTTTCCCCCCTGCTATCTTTGCTAGTGTTAGCGTGATGTTCTTATCTTCTTGCAGAGGTTGACCATCATCCAACACTGTTACTTGTAAACTCAGATCCTCAGCTGCCAATATGAATCTGGTTGGGTCCACACTCACTTCTAAAACACAAAAGCCAAAGTTAAAGTTGGCTCTAAACACCAGTTGTTTGAAACAGTCTTACCAGTATTGTTGTATTCCACACCAAGAATAACTCTGACTTCAGGTGACCCCTTGATAGTGCCAACAGTCAGAGTCAATGTGTCACCTATCCTTGCCTCGGAAAACGTCTCTTTCCACCCATAAACTATAGGAACAAAACACATCAAAATATCGAGTTCTCTGATTTATTTGCATGATAAAAGGCCGTATAATATACGCTCAATAAGTCTCTAAAGAGTGCACAAAGTAATGAATGTCACAATATTAATGTGGAAATTGTGAGTGGAAAGGGAAACCGTAACTCAGAAGAGATTATTTTCTGGAAACAAGGACATACTATAGCACATGCAACATACTGTGGTGTATACAATCACGCACTTAAACATGCTGCACAGGGTTCTGTGCAGTTTGCCAGGAAAGAGCTTCATCAAGTATGCAGCACTCTTTAGCTGAATTAAATTCGCCGATAATCAATTCCGGTACATTCTCTGGACAATGCTCCTCTGAGTAGCACTCCACCTGAGCCTTCCCTGTGTCAACATCAATGTGTTGCCATAGCAGTTTATAGACAACATGTCGATAGGACAATTGCGCATGCGCAATGAAAAATCTGTCGCGGTGTCCGTTCAGCAGGCAAGAAAAATTTGCATTGAGAATGAAGAAGCTACATATAATCTCAGACTCCTCTATGCAATAGCTAACCGAGCAATACATGGTGTGATGTCTGACAGGAGAGGTAGTTAGCTATTATCTTACCTCCTCTGGTGCAAATGCCGAGCAACAGCAGTGCTACCAGCTGAAATACAGTCCGTACCTCCATCTCTGCCTCGTTTAGACTTTCCTTCAGCAGGTGCCGCGTCCCCGGCACAGTCCTACTCTTCTGTAATGCAGTGTATATGTAATACTGGGAGCATGCCGCTATATAAATATGGCGTGGGATGTGCGGGGACAGCTATATAAACACGGGTTGGCGGAAAAGAAACTGAAAATTCTACGGCCAGATGGTAGCATATGTAACTTGAATCGCGCGCCGCTCATGCGCTCAACCAAGTGCAAACAGAAAAATCTCATCCTTTATTGATTGTGAAAAAAATCAGAGCGCTTTAAAAATCACACAAAAAGAAGAAAGTAAAATTATTTCTTTAATGAAGCAAGTGATTCTGACATGTTATGATGGTGATGATGAATGACAATGAACTAAGTTTTTTCTTAGGTGGGGTAGTTGATTATGTGAGTAACTACAAATTGGTCTGAGTTTTGCTGTTGTGGATCAGACTTTTAGCGAGACTTCTCCTGCTGCTGGAGTAGGGAAAGAGAGAGATAAAAATCTGGTTGCTAGCAGTGGTTGCTTGCAAAGATGTGCAAGTATAATGGCGAGAAAGAAGAGGTTGGACCTCCGATAAGTGACCCTCCGAGATAGGGACGACTTCTCTACATGTCCCAACCCTATGCTATTTGACCTCCAAGATAGGGACGACCTCTCTACAAGGGACAAAATCGTTGGCCCCACAGTGTCCCTTGTTCGGAGGTTCCACTGTATACACACACAGTTCTTTACTCTACCTCATGGCTGAGCTCGACAATGAGTGGTTTGCTGGTCTGGTTGGAGGTGAAGCCATTGAGGCTGGAAATGGCCTTGTTGCCTCCCTCCTGACACATGTACTGCAGGAGACAAACAAAAACATCCCACAATGACTACTCAAGTTTATAGCAACTAGAACAGTAATTTTCTGCGTTACTAACCCTCGACACGCATGTGCAGTCACTTTTCCTCCCCTACAGTATGATTCACTTTACATAAAAGAACTGGAAGTTGTTTATTCCGGGGCAAATTATTGTACATGTATGGGACTATGAGGCACTCACCACAAAGGCAACACCGCGTCTGTTTGGATGCTTCTGCACGTCAAACACTCGTCCGTAGACGGAAAACAGCTCACAAATCTCTTCCGTCGTCGTGTCTGGTTTGACGTTCTTGACAAACAGCTGAGGGAAAAAATAATGATGTAAGATTCCCCTGACTGTACCTACAGTAGAAATATTCACCATACATACATACATAGTACAATTGCCCAGTCTCTACAGTAGCTTGTAACATGTTTTCTGAGCCTTGAAGACCTTTAACTCGTGTGTGTCAGGACAATATATAAAAGAGTACACTAAACACATGTATGCGTCATAACAGTTTTAGAACGACTGTCTGGTTACTGTTTTTTATGACCCAATATAAAACACTGTACACATCCTTACTCGGAGGGTCTTGTCAGCAGTGATGCTACCAGCTCTCTGAACGATTGGAGTAGTCAAGACTGGCACAGATCTCTGCATGGAGGGAGGGAGGGAGAGAGGGGAGGCAAAGACAGAATATGAATGCTAACATGTATGCAAAAAACTGTTTATTCAAGCCAAGACCTCTCAACCCAGAAATCCCAACATTTCTGTTTGCTAACTCCCTGAAGGCCGAATGATAATTACATGTATATATCCCATTGGATTTAGCCCGACTGCAGATACAAAAGTAGTCAGAAAGCCACCCATGTAGAGCTGTACTGAGAGAGGTTTGGGACTTCCCGGTAGCCTTGTTCCATTGAGACCAGACATGGCCTGCAGCCCCCCTTCTCCGTCCATGATCTAGTGACAGTTGAGAGAAAGGATGACATTTTGGCGAGATGAAGCTGAGGTATAATAATGAAAAGGTGTCAAGTAAAAGAAGGGCAGGCAAGTACATTGAGACAAATGCACGCCATAAGGTGAAGAAAATCTGCTATAATGTATAAAGCTACTCAGTATGATTCACATAATCTCATATATAGACTTTAGCATTGCTCCTCAGCCTGATCACCAGGTAATTGCTGCGTAATAGGCGAAGTAACATTTTCCTGCAGCTGATTCGAAAGAGCACCATAGGCAACATTCTCTTGCTGCTCAATAGGGGAAGTAACATTTTCCTGCTGCTGGTTCGAAGGAGCACCATAGGCAACATTCTCTTGCTGCTCAATAGGGGAAGTAACACTTTCTTGCTGTTTGTTAGGAATTGCTAAATTTTTACTTGTCTCTGGCTGTGTCTGCAATGAAATCTCGGTACTTGCTTTATTTTCGGGTTTTGTCAAGGACAGAAGAATAGTATGAATCTGGATCATCATAGATGGGCTCTGGAGTTGGGAGAGCAAGTTTACTTTGCCTCTTCTTCCTCTGCCTCATAATTCCAATGAGAATTGTTATGATGATGATTGCAGCAATCAGTAGCACGGCTATCACAACAGTTACTATGATGATGATCACAGGCGGATTTTTATCTCCTATTCGAAAACAAAAGTGTATTCAGTACACTTTGCAATTGCATATAATTATACTGAGTCAAAGACTACGTGATTTAACTTTTTGGTATAAGGTATTAGCCTAGGCCTGGAGTATGTACTTGCTCACCAGTTGGTGTTTCATCATCACTGTCAACGATAGTGACATCATTGTCAATGATGGTTATGGTGATGGTGTCAGGGGAGACAATGACAGTGGCTCCCGACACAGGGTTCACTAGAACTATGGAGAACGTCTCGTCTGGTTCATCTTCAGTGTCGTCAGCAATGGAAATCAGAATATTTCAAGTTCCATTTGATGTGAATGTTAGACTTGACGGACCAGTTATGAAGAAATCTACACATGGTACATTTGGGGAAGAGAGAGAGAGAGTTCATAATGAAACAGATAGCTAACTATGTAGGAGCTGTAGGTACATAACCCTGTGACTTACACTCTGGAAAAACTGTATGTACCTGATTGTTTCATGGCAGATCCATCCTGGTATATATAGTATGTCGACTGTGATAGGCTCATGCGCGCCGAGGGTTAATAAAATGGTTTTCTAAACGAAGGAACAGTAGGTTATAAAAAGTCTAGGGATTAGAGAAGACCATGATTCATAATGAAGTTTTACTGTTTTTATATGCCTGAAAGTCTGTTCATCTACATGTAGTCTTCCTTCTCTCTCACCAACTCAGCTCTTGTGGTTGGTTTTAGCCTGTCCCAGTATACAGTTCCAGCCGAATTTCTGACACAGCCACTGGTACATACATTATAGTGCTCTATCTAATGGGGTTTTGCTGAGCATTTAAAGAAGACAACTTTAGCAAATTGAAGGCTTTTTGAATATGAAGACACCTGAATTGTGATATTCACATTTCTTTCTCCCTCAAAACCTTTCCATTTTGTTCCTTTGTGGATTTTTTTTACCTTTCACCATAATTTCAGCTGCCGCCTGTTCTCATCTATTATACAGCTGGGGAAGATTATGAACCAGTATCAACTCCCATATATAGAATTTACTCAAAGTCAGAGACGAGTGGAGGTATAATATAGCAATCCAGATATTCTTTGATGACTTTTTCGAGCCTGACGAGCGATTTGAGGCAGTCCTCAATCTTCCTGACAACTCATGTTGCTGTGGTTACCATCCATGGCTCTGAACCTCAATAGTCAAGTGGATAAACAATAATTATGTATGGACAAATTGACAATTTGCGTCAGTTGATTTTTACTGCTCTTGATAACTAGTATGTAACTATGCTGCTATGTGTAGATTACTTTATGGTACAACAGTCATACTTTTGTTGCTCAAAGTTACGACGTGAAGTGGAAACGGGGAATCAGACAAACAGAGACGAGAATGCTTTCTCTAACAGTTAGCTACATAGAAAATCCACAGAGGCTATGGTGGCATTTCTTCATGGTAGATCTGGGAATAGAGAGAGAGAGAGAGTTAGGTGTGAAGGAAGTGTATATAGCTATCACGTATTTCTCATCATAGAGGCTAATAGGAGATTGATATACAGAGCAATCTCCCGAAGGGACCCTTGTTTCTGTCCCATACTACGTAATACACTATATTTAAGGGACACCTGATGCTTGTGGTTGTTTAAGACTATGGAGGAGTGCTGATTCAGCATATTCCATGTATGAAGTAACAACCTGACACTGTGGTGTTGCCATTATACAGTCTCCAATAGGAGACTGATATAGAGCGACACCTCCTTATCTACCCCATACCATGTAATACATATAAAATTAAATCTGATAGCATTCATTATGCCCATCAAAAGGACACAGATTTGTCAATGTTCAGGAGTCCCTTATTCGGAGGTTTCACTATCATGTGCTGATAATCATGCTTGCTTTGAATGATGTGGACTTACCGGATGGCTGATCAAGGATGGTGACCAGGGCTCCTCTGAAGAATACATTCTTGGGAGTGACTCCACTCTCTTCAATGATAGTCAGTCTGAATGTCTCCTGTGGCCCGTCCTCCTGTCCCGGTTCAGTACTGATCTCCACCCGCACGGTCCCGGTTCCATTCTCCTCCAGTGGTACCCAGGGCTCCAGGACCCTGTAATCATTAGCAGCTGCACCAATAGAAGCACGCCGGCGTTTAATACACCGAGTTGAACTATTACATAGCTACATCAGTGGGAAATTCAAAAGCCTATGAACAATCCCTCACGTGTTCAAAACCCAAGTCGGCAACGCTTTTAGTACATGTCCAGATGAGTAAAATAATTGTGGACAGGCAAAACTAAGCCTAAGTGAACACATTCTTTATCAGCCAAGTGTAGTAGCTGCAATACCAGCAGTGATGGGAGTGGATATGACGGTGAGAGTTAGGTTCTGAGCCAGAGATCCCTGCACCACTGCCAGTGTGAACTGATACGACTCACGTCTCTCCATCACTTCATACTCCGTCTCCTCAAACCCTATCACTGTACCACACACACACACACACACACACACACACACACACAAGTTAAACTCACCAAGGGATATCATATGGTATAAAGTTAGGAGAGAAAATGGCTTTTTGTTGTGAACAGGTGTCCACTATGCCGTTAAAACATGTTCAAGATGCCTGGGTTCGACTCTTGACAAAAATGTTTTCACTCCTGGCCTGTGTCATTATCTAGATTACAAGTTTACCTATGCATGGAATTGTGTATATTGACTTTTCGTATGACATTCCTCCCAAGTCAACACAGCAGACTTCTGCGGTAGGAGCATCCCGTGGTTCACCTCTGACATTGCATACTATTCCTGCATCAGAAAGAAGACTACTTTTTTAGACAATCTTATAAACCGCACCACATATCTCTTTCCCTCTCCCCTACACTCTAATGCTACCATGTACCATGAAACTTCAGAGTCGAAAACTAAACCTCTGTATATTGCGCGGCCCAGATATTTTGTTGAGAAAACCTTTACGGTTGGCTGAAAAAGTGCAAAATTCTCCAAAAACTTTCCCCTCAAAAATTTCAGTGTATGTGGAATTCTATTGACAAATACGTACCTTCTGGTTGTGGTTCATCATCAGTTATGCGCACTTCAACATAGTCGGAGGAAATGTTGAGATTCTCAAAGTCAGTGTACAAGAGACTGAGAATGATGGCAATATTCTATCTTCTCCTCCGTCATATACACTGTTGTCTCTGACACCGATCTGGAGCTGTCGCGAGCTACTGCCCTCTTCGAATGTCAGCGTCACCTCCGATTGCGTCAGTATCTCGACACCCACGGAATCAATATCTGCACACAGAATTAAAGGATCTCCCCTTCATAGTAGGTAATACTGCGAAAACTCTAAATAAAGGGCACCTCGGTGACATTGAAAGTGGCCTTATACAGATGTATCCCTTTCCCAGAGGTAATATTGTATTGGTATGTAATGGGGCAGAAAGAACTAAGTTCCATTAATAGAGATGAGTCCTTTATTCAGAGGGTCCTTATTACGTAGCAGAGGAGTAAAAGGTGTCCACATCATGCGTACCTTTAGGTTGTATGGGAACTGTGGATATTCCAAGTTGGACCTCCCCTGGTAGATTTCCTCCTCCACCTGCTAGACTAACAGTCACCTCCACAATCTCTCCTGCCTCAGATACAACAGTTGGTTCAACAGTCATCCTGACAACTGGTACTGCATGGGCAAAAACAAAATCATACACACACATACTTTAACTCAGATCTAAAACCGTTTTGCTTTGTGCCATCATTTCTACAGACAGAAAAACATTAGTGCTAGTATTATTAGTATATATAGTATATATGGGAGAACAGAGAAAGAGTATCGTATAATTATATACATGCTTCTTTTATTTCCATATTCTGTCACAAGTAGAGGCTACTATATACAACTGGAGGCAGTGGGTAACATAACATACAGCAGTCATCAGTATCAGTGATTGTGATCCTGATATCATTGACAATGGAAATGGGGTCATCAGATGACTGTAGAGATTTGAGAGACTAAACACCTCCTTGTCTTCACAGGTTGAGTCATCTATAATATCAACACCAACTGTTATTCTGGTTGTTGTGGGATGGATGGTCAATCCCCTCTCAATCACCTCATAATCTTCCCCTGAAAAAACCACACAGATAAGGGAATATGACAGGAATCTCAATTTAGATTGAGTCTCATTTTTGAAGTTCAGAGAAAACACATTGCACAGAGGAGCTGGCTGTTTAGCAATTGCCTTTCTTCAATCATTGTCACCACTAGACAGTGCAGTATAATTGCTGTACATGCTCTCTACAAGTCAACACTATATGCTCACCTTCAAAGGCTGTGTCACCATCCTGTGATTTGCCATCAGCAGAAACTGTCACATTGCGATCAATGGCCCCCTTGACTACCACCAGGTCCACATAAATCATCACAACTGACTCTGTCACTCCCCCAACTGACTCATTTCTGGACTCTCAACACTGGCATGAAGGCCATGAGCATGCCTGTGTGACATCAATAAAATACAAGAGTGTTGACAAACACATGAACACGGCATAATAAGGTTAAACAAAGACCAAATTGTATTTATGTAATCCCCATGCACTTTACTACGCTGTAGAGAGTAAGGCTAGTTCACAATGTTTGCATTGCCCATGCGCTGTGTCCGCTTTTCAAGGATCAAGCTTAGCGGTGGTGCGATGGTGCATTGCGACGTATTATTAATCACCACCCACCTAGTGGAGTTTGTGTTGTTTGTTTTGCCTCTGCCTTGCAGTCTTTGCCTGCACTTACGCTCATCATCGCTGATGTCGACAGTAGTCAATTATCCAGACCAGCCACACACGAACCAGCCCTTCCACTGGCTGTAGCATGACCGTAAAAACACGCTCACTTCTTCTATCTTTCTGCGATGTCATCATTTATGATCCTAACCGGTACGCACGATTCTCCCGCTTCTGATATTCGGAACGTGATGATCCAGTTGATTCCGCTCAATCCGTCGAGCTACCAAAAATGTAAAAATACTTTCTCAGGGCCTTTTATGGTTCATAGCATTGTCCCCACTTACCCAGTGCAGTACCAGTGATGGAAGTAACCCTAAACAGTAACATTGACCTCTTCACCATCTGTTTTCACGAGGATTATTTCAAATCCACGGCCCTCACTGAGAGCAGACGACGTCCTGACTCATTGGAATGTCATAACTAACACAAGAATACAGATAAAGGAGAGGGCGAAACAGAGAGACTTAATACAAGCTACAAAGCTACTGCTTAACCAGCTGTGGTTGTCTAACACTAATTTTGAGGAAGGTTCTAAATTGTAGAAACCCTGAGAGACCTAAGTCTAGTATCACCCAGTAAGAGGTCCACCGTCAGTGATAGTGACATTAGCATGGCAGTGGGAAGACACGCCCCATGATCTGTCCAAGATCAAACCTCAACACTTTTGGCCTCGCCCGTGAAGATGTTGTCTGGTCCCAGAGCCACAGTCTGTTGTCACCGCAAATCACCCCACTGCTGGCAACAGGCCGCTCTTCTGGCCTCTGTGAGTCTTCGCTCAGCTGTGTGTGTGGTTGGTATGCAATGTACGTACCCAGCATATGCAGCACCACAGAACAGCTATACCTGCTAGAGTGCGCACTCAAAACCGTACCCTATCATTACACAGTACACAGCAGTGGTAAAGAAAGAACCTTTGAGTTTCGGGAGCATGGCAAAGGTTTGTTGATGTACGGAACCCACTTTCATGGCTGAACAGCGGAGGTTGACCACTTTGGGTAGTATACAAAGAACAACAGAAATGTTATACACTCACTTATCCAAATAGTTCCTATAGAAATGTCCCAAGCGTTACCAGTCACACACGCGTGTAGTTGGGAGCCATGTGCAAAGGTTTCTTTGTGACAGGAATACCCCTTTCATGGTCTACGCGGAGTTTACCAGACTTAACTTCCCATGTAGCCAAAAGGCTTTGTACTAGCTTCTAGTCTTCGACCGCCAGCCAACTGAGATCAGTTAGCGGACCTATGGCCGCACTGGTAGCTCTGGGGATTGTTTCCCCTGCCACACAACAAACGTGATGTCATCGAGAAGGTCTCCAGTCCTGCGGATCGATATGAGCTACCTCCCCACGCTCCTTCTTCCACACTGTACTCACGACGCGACAAGCGACACTGTGCTCCCCTGTGTGTAAGAAAGGGCACAGTAGCTACACACACAGCATAAAAGACTCTGCCGTTGTACTTCTGCCATAGGCCGTGGAAAGTTGCACAGATAGATGTTGTTCTTTGTTAGTTGTTGTCTTACGTGCAATCGGTTTTGATTTTTGGGTCATCCACTGTGGCGATTGCTCGACTTGTATCTCTAATTGTCAGCTAGACTACGATATACCCAGGCACTTTGCCTCTGGATTACTGTGAGCAAGAGTTACAACACACCCGATTTCGTCACGTTTTAATCTCTACTTGGATGCCATACGCACACACGTCATTCCCTTCTTCGCAAGAGATGCCAGTCCAAGTCCCACTGATGGGGCCTTTATCCAGCGAAACTCCGTCTGTTGCTATTCCAGGGGTGGCGAACAGAAAAATGTTCACAAAGTTTCTGACTCTCAGTCCGGAAAAGTAGTTGAGCATGTATGAGTCTTTGTACTGTCCGGCAGGGGGGATGATTGTCATGGACGGATCTGCTGCAATCAATGAACTTGCGGCTCCTCCGATTGAGAATTGAGCTAACAGTACTGGATATATAGAAGTGAATCGACAGAATCTATTTGACGGGATCTCAAACTCGGTAAAATTTCCAGCAGTGGGGAGACTCCTTTCGTCTGATGTGGCGTTTTCTCCGGTACATACCCACCTTATAGAGTTGTCATCTCTGGAGGTGAGGGCTCGGAATCTGTCCAGGGATCTGGTCATGAATGAAGCGGTGTAAAACTCGGTACCCCACGTTGACGTTGGCGGAATCTGCTCCACCATGTGGTCGCAGAACTCGAGGTCAAAGGGCATGTTTCCACACTCGTGGCCGGAAAAGAACGCCAGTGGCTTGTCTGATACGACATGAGTCCCAGTGAGATCCTCAGGGCTGGAGAGAAACACTGCTTTTCCCTTGCCTAGTATCAGTTCTAGTGAGGTCCCGGCTGGCGTTGTAGTTCCTTTGATGATTTCTACATCTTTGGATGGAGTGATTGTAGCTGTTGTCCTTTCCTCGGATGCAATGAAAACGATGGCACTATTACCTGAAGGTGGTAGGATAAACTCTTCTCCTTCTTCTATCAACACTCTTATTTCTTTGGCTACTGAAACTGCGTAATATTCGTAGTTGCTGGGAAGATAAACACATGGCAGTAGCTGGTAAGTGTCAGAGCTAGAGTACTCTGTACCAAATGCAGTTACCGACAGTTTTGCCCCATCCATGGATTGGATAAAGACTCCTTTGTCCGTTTCACCGACATCTCCAAACCGCATTTCAGGAGGTAGAGCTACCTCAATTGAGGAACTAGGTCCAATTTCTATTTCCTTTGTTTCGGATTTGTACGAGTAAGCAACGGTTTGCTGAAAATCTTCCATGTTATCGAGTTTCACCAAAATACTGGCTAGAGAGAATAGCGGAGCAACTTCGATATTGCTGAAAAAGGCCACATAAAACTCGGATCCGTCATTGCAAAACTCTTCCATGCCTACATTGTGGAAAAACATAGAAGAACATCATGCACAATTTGGCGAGCAAGTGTGCCTTTAATGGTTTGAACTGCCATGCCTAGGGCTGTGTATAATACATAGTGTTTGTGTTGGTGTTTGCGTATGTCATAGCGCATGGTTGGTTCATCGTTAAACTGGGCAGTTTTCGCTCGCCGATTAAGGTGCTGTCACATACTTATGCATAATGCTGTTCTCAAGACTCACTGAAGCAGTTTCTGCAGGTGTCACCAGAGAGGGAGAAGGAGAGACCTCTGCCTCCACAGCAGTCTCCTCTCAGAGGAAGATCTGTCTCCACCACTGCCCCGTGACACTCTGTCGACTCATAGCAGACAAACTCCTGACCCAACACTGCATGTGTCGATAACAAGGTGGCATAGCAAACGCAAAGAAAAACAAGTCAACTACCCAGGGTAGCCATTTTATATGGGGGGATACAAAGAAGTGTCTCTTTACTAAGACTGCCTAAACGTAAAGGTGTTGTTTTGCAGCAAGTAGCCAGTTGCCGGCTTTTGTGGTAGAACTCAGGAGCCTTGGCTGCTGGGAAACCCTACTCTTACTACATCATACAAATGAACCGAAATAGTTCACTTTTGAGGTGGCGTTCTGGTTGTAGTAAGGAACAGATGTTCAGTCGGGGTCCTACCAAAACAACTCTACCGCGCACTGTTAACCCTCCGTCCACCTCATGAAGGATGAATGAAGAATGATTATACGTAGCAAACATTTTCATGCAGCTTCACATTATTTTTATGCGAAAATACAATTGCATATTATACGACGGCGAGCGCCTGTTGATAAAACCCGGCCGCCGTCATAGCGGCGTGCATCTACCTACACCCTACCTCTGTAGTATGTCAAAATTGACAGCGCTGTCACCAGTAGGATATTTTGTGCTGCCATGTCTGATCCTCCGGCTGGAAGACAACCGGACAGTCGCCGCAATAGCACAAGCTCCGGAGGAAGGGCCGTAGGAGGCCGGCGCTGCGAGTCGTTCTCGCGGTCGCTGTTTAGATCACGTGACTTTACAACCGCACGGGGACCTCCCCGCCCTTCTCATCAACGAGGGGGTTAGGGTTATAATGATATTCTCCTTTCTCTCAATACCGCACTACTTCATCACGCACATGTATGCATCTCTTATAGTATCGTTTGTCATGAGATCTATCACCTTCTTCACAACCATACACGATTTTAAAATAACACCATCTCACAACATACACAATTTTCCACCTCAAAGACAAATAGTTCAATCTGGACACAGAAGAAATTATTGTTCGATCTTCCAATCACGCCAGTTGCAGGCAGTAATCTCACACCAGTGAGTGGTGGACCCCATAAAGAGAGCATTCACGGTCTAATCATGGTGCCACTAAATCACACAATTGCTCTCCCTCCCTCTCAGGGACAGTCACGGTGTAGTTGGTGTCGGGGTCGGAGTCTGAGTGAGGCTCAATCTCTATAATCCGATGGTAGAACTGACCTGCCTGCCTGTAGGGAGAGGGAGGGAGAGCCAGCGGAGAGACAGTTCCTGGGGAGACTCTACCATCTGGACTGGAACCACAAGCAGAGCCCATGTCTCTATGTTGGCGATAGCCAGGGTGGACCTGTCATTTCTTGCTTGTATCGCGACTATGCAGTGAACAATACATTCTCAGAGGAAGGCTACCAGAGTGTTCAACAGTGACAATTGTGTGATTTAGTGAAACCCTACTCTTACTATAATTATTCATGCAAATGAACAGAAATAGTTCCCTTTGAGGTGGCGTTCTGGTTTTTGACTGCTGGAAAATGCTACAGTAAGGAACAGATGTTCAGTCTGGTCCTATATACCAAAACAACTCTACCGCACACTGTTAAACCCGCTATCTCCTTACTGGAACAAGTTGAAGCACTGCTTTTAAGAATGTGTCCCTCACTCATGGGTGTGTGGTTAATATAGAACCAAGTGTTTTTTTGGACATGTCGCTGTATATTTTTAGCTCACCCACTATATATTTTTTGGACATGTCGCTGTATATTTTTAGCTCACCCACTATATTCCTATCAGGTGAAATTCAGCTACATATGTACGTCGGAACACTCTCTGTTTAAACTCACAATCATTGTCGAGTATGGTGACAGTGGTAGTGCCTGGGTCGACAGATATCTGTGGATTTGGGTCGAGAACTGTCAGTGTAAATGATATCGTTTCCGGTGGTTCCAGAGCAATGACGTCATCAGGTATTGTGAAAAATATTGATATGGATTTGGGACTAGATGCTCCATCCGGGAAAGCCCTGACGGCAGAGAAGCTTCCCCCTGCAACCTCGAATTCTATGACAGAGTCGAACGGAGCAGATTTCACCACGACTACCTCCAGTGTGCCACCCTCTTCCACTGTGTACTCAATATCCTCGAAACCAATAGTGATAGCTGTGCATGGAGAGAGAGAGAATAATGAAAACTAGTAGAAGCACAATTCTAACCCCACCCCTACAATTTTGTACAAAATGTGTCATTATTGATAGATGTATAGAAAAGATAATTCTTTATGGCTGGAATACCACGAGTAGAGAATGATGCAGAAAAACAACAGACTACATCTTCCTTTCTTCCTCTGTCCCTCGCCCTACCCCTATCTCCCACTGAGTGACTAATTGACATTCCTATGCATGACGGACATGTTGTACCGTCATCACTGATGATGGAGACATCGAGAGGGCCCTGGAAGACCACAGGGAACTCCCTGCCAATTCCGTCAGTGATCATCCCACTCTCCATGACCCTCCCCACCACTGAGAATGTCTCCTCCAGCTCCACTCTGTCATCACTGAAGACATTCACATTCACTGACACGACTCCATTGGGCATCGTACTAGCTGCTATCACCTCATCCACTATGGACATGTAGTCACTGCCTCCTGCAGAGACATAGGACATGCGGAGTAATAAAATGCCTGTAACTTTCATCGGCCTATCCAGCAAAGATTCACGACCATAGACACTAAATCTCATAAGCCTACCCTATAAATTTTGTGTAGTAGAGCACTGTCCTAGAGTTATACATGTCTGGAGCAATGTACACGGTAAACTTATGGATACCAGTGGCAGTGCCATCAGTGGTAGAGAGGACGACATTGTAGTCAAACTCAAAGACTCCATCAGGTGGTGGGTTATCCAGGACAAAACTGACTTCTCTCTGTTCTCCTTCAGGGACAGTATAGGTACTCTGGGCTGGTACGTAGATGTAGTCTGAAGAGATGTAGACAGGGATAAGGATAAGGGATAGGAGGAGGGACCATAATTACACTCTAAAGCATTCTGTACTACATATGTACTGATCTAGAATGTCACTATTTAACCATTGGAAAGTGTTTGCTTGAAGATTCAGTTTAGCTCATTAGATTGAACTTTATTGGGCAAGTTTTAATGTAGGAAGAAACAAGTAGTATAGACCAACCTCCATCATTATCTCTGATTCCCACACTGATCAATCTGGTCAGAGGGTCAACGACAAAGTTTGGACCTCCTCTCTGACTTAGTCTTACGTCAAATGTCTCTACCAGTTCAATTCTCGTGTCTCCACGAATGGTGACTGACACGTTGATACTGGACACGTCCGGAGGGAAATAGAACGTGTCGTCAGACACAAAGAAGTCGCCGTCCTCAGCTGTAATAGGTGAGCCACGGAGAGCAATGGAGTAGTTCTGCTCCGAGTCTACGTCTCTAGTCACGAGGAGGTTGTGGGTAAAATCTACATCTTGTTCGTCAACAGAACTCGAGAGAAACTGGAATCCAATAGTTGCTTCTGCAAAACACAATAACAACATTCACCAATGAGAAACTGAGTAGAGAATCTCTTACGGTCGTTTTCTTGGATTCCCAAAAGTATAGCATCTCTCCCCAGCACTGCTCCAGTTGGATTTCCACTGAAGCTCAGGACTCCGATGAAATATTGGTCGGAATCTTCTGCTATGACATCATCAATAATGGGTACTGGAATGATTGTTGGGCCATCTCCAGGAGGTATGGTGAACGGTATCACATCTGGCACATAGTCTGCCCCGGCTGGTGGTAGATTGCATCATTATTACCACTGCACGTGTTTGTTTAAGAATTTTTCTTACGTATTGCAAGGTTGGGTGATCTGGGATCAAAGGGACGAATAGGAAGGCCAAACGAAGCATCATACTCAGTGGGAGTGAGAGTGAACGACACTTCTTCTGCTGTAGCCACACTTCTAGTGATAGTCACATTGATCATTTCACTTTCGTCTGCCTCTGCCTCTCCAGCGAAAAACTCAAACCTCACAACTGGAACATCATGGGAAAGACCGGGCAACGACTACATTACTGTATTGCGACTATTATGCCCTTGTTTAATATGCCACAGTGTTCATATTATGATGCTGAAAAGACCAAAGGCTGATCTGTGCATTTCAACTGCATGCACAACTATGTAAACATAGCCGAAAAGTTACTTGTATAGTGGAGACTATGTACATTGTAATGGTCTTTACCGTCAGAGTCCTGAATGCAGATGTGTAGAGAGGCGTTAGTCAGTTGTACATTGGGAGGTCCACTCAGAGACAGAGTGAGGTTCTCCACTCCCTCCAGTCCCAGATCGTCTGCTATGGCCTGGAATCTCACACACGGCTCAGTCATAGTCCTAGTGATGGTCACTTGTGGCGTGATCAGATCGAAGTCTGTACCTGGTCACAACACAGCATAAAGGATGTGTTCGTGCTAAGTTTGTTAACTGCAATTAGAATATGATTCAAACCACTGTCTTTCTACATATAGCCAGCAGAAGTTATTACAGTGAGAATATTTTGTGCATTATGTGGTTGGAGGGCCAACACGGAAGTTTTACGCCAAAGGGAGTTGCAAAGTTTGCCATGTATTCCAAGAGATTTATCCTTCAAATGTATGGTAGCTACATGGTCCCCTTACCCTCAGGTCCAGCAGTGTCATAAGTGACGGAGACAGTTAGCACAGTATCCACTGCAGGAGATCCAACAGTAGTCAGACAGATCACCTGCAACACACCCTCAGGGATACATCCATCCCCCGGCGTCCTGAACCCAGTCTGAACTGTCAACAGAACATAACCAGTCATCCCACTGATAGAGCTGATTTTTTCTTTCTTTCTTTCCGGGCTACACACTCTCAGCATTCTTTCAGTCTCCATGCATAAGATCGGAGCAAGGATTAATTAATCTGAGGTAACCTGGTGAAGAAAGCTATCCGTGTGCTAGCACTTATGATTTATAAGCGCTTACACAACTACTTTTAATGCCCAACCAAGTTATTTAGCCTATTACAACGTGACTGGATGAACTACCGACAGTGTGGAGGCTACATAACATACTGTCATTATCTTCGACAATGATCCTGACTGTTGGGTTGACGAGAAACATCGCTCGGGTTCGATTGTGGAAGCCGGACTAGAGTGAGTACAATGTCTTAAGTTCCTCTCCTCCTATACCATCACTGGCTAGAGTGACATTACTGTGACTGGGACCAACGTTGCAGTGAACACTTCGTCATGAAGAACACTAGCGGATCTGGAGTGACAACATAGTCCACTCCCTCTGTAGGAGAAACACAGTATAGGTATACATAAATGTGGTATAATCAGTCATTATATAACCTGCAACATAGACAAACCTGGCGAAAACCGAGGTTGAATGTTAAAGTCCTATCGGAGGAATTGTGGTGGATTATGTCTTAGTGTAGAAAGTGTCAGGGAGACAGTCTGTCCTTCCACAGCAGTTATGTCAGTTTGAGGCACAGCTGATGTCAATCACTGCTGATATTCTGTACCATCCAAACCTGATAGAACCAAAAAGGTTCAGTTCAAAACACTGATGTCAGTATAGCTTACCATAACACGAAGAGCATGATTCGCTGCCCACTGCAGGTAAGTATGAGAGGGTATCAGCCCTGCTACAGCAGGCCAATATTGAAACCTGTACACCAACACTACCAGAACCACAACCAAGTCCAGTGAAGCACGGCACAGTCTGTGCAGAGCCTGCAAACGTAAGTCGTGCAATAATCCAAAATTTTTATCATTGCAGTCGTCTAATAGCTACATATACCTTGCCGGAGACTGCAGGCTAGCAGTAGTAAAGCTGCAGCGACCCAACCAGCCCTCATCTTCTCAATTTTCTCTAGCAAACCTGCAGCGCGCTCTCTCGGCCCACGATTAGTCGGCCGCGTGTTTGTGTTGCAGTAGCTGGGCAGCGAAACACGCACCTGATCCCCCTTAGAAGTTGTGGGATCCTATTAGAACGCCCCCGCAGTATTGCCCTGAGAACAAAGCGTGTTTTTGCGGGCAGGTTTCGCCGTCTTAGTGATCTTCCGTCTCGGCTGTGCGGTATGCGAGGCTCGTAGCGCACAGATGTTGCGTCCGTGTTTGCGAGGGAGAGATCTATCTCCTGACCGCAAGAAAGGTTCTCATGATGCTACCAGATGGTAGCTGCTCTCAAGGTTATCTGTGTGTTTACAGCCGAAATGCACCGCGGACTGGAAGATTTGCGCATGCGCGGTTAACGCTGCGAATTTCCGCATTTCTCCGTAAATTTATAGTATACTAGTAAACAAACATGGCGTCTCAAGAGAGGAGGGAGTTCGACAAATACTTAAAGTTTTTGACCTTCAAGGTGAGTGAGAGAAACGAAAAGCGACTCGTAGTTTATTCGTAGTATTGAAGCCTCTAATTATGTAAAGATTAGGAGCAATTGACCGCGGATAAGTGTGAGAGACGAACTAATACTTGTCTCACTCGTGACGCAGACAGTACAGGTTATAGTCCAGTCCAGACAGGGAAGAAAGATAGCCACCAGATCAAATCCTCACGGAAATGACTGGGTGAGTCTCAGTACCATAGCTACAGATCTCCCGTTCTCTTCCACACGCTAGTGGCTACATTTCTCACCTGATACATTGGTTAACAATCCATCCACTAGTTTTACTTTGTTTATCACCTGATTGGTTAGTAATAGCTACAATCCATGCACTATATTTACTTCGTTTATCACCTGATTGGTTAGTAATAGCTACAATACTCTCATTATTATTCCATACACTAGTCTTTCTGTAGTTCGAGTCACTAGTGTCACTTCGTTTGTCTGTTTAAAGAATAACCTCCTCTCCGTAATCTTTCCAGTTCAACCTGTCCATCTTGGACGACAAACAGGTTACGGTGGAGCTCAAGAGGTCACTGGAGGGTCGTCTGCCAGAGGCCGGCCAGCCAGTCTGTGTCGAGATACTCATGGAAACTTCTGAGGTGGACATACACACTTTGGCAACTGAGTATTGAAAATTTGCATTTTTGAGCCAATCGTATATAAGTGCTTTAGGATGATTCTTACGAATGTGACAGTGCATAATACTAAATTATTGTTACTAAAGATGGAACTAAATGTTATAGTGCTACTTGTTACGGTAGAAGAATGCAGTTGCAAGTATATAAATGCCACATGTTTGCCGAAGAATTAATGCTAATTCTTTCTGCAGGGTGACTCTATAGTGCTGGAGGTATGGAGCATTGAACTGGACCCGAGGTATGTATGGCAAGTAATATACTGGTTTAACTTGTTGCCTCTCTCTCTCTCTCTCTCTTTCTCTTTCTGAGAAAAACTGATTCTAAAGCCATCGAAATCATGTGTGTGCTGCCAATTGGATTCTACTCCCTTCTTCCTTTCTCCCTCCCTCCTTCCCTCCCTCCCTCCTCCCTCCCTCCTCCCTCCCTCCCATCTCCACCAACCTATGTATACACAGCAGGAGGGATGTGAGTGTATCAGTAGCCCACGTCCTCTACCCACGTCTCTCCCTCATGTTGAGGTCACTGGTGGTCCTCTCCAGAACCACTCCGGCCTACAAACTCTCTCGCTCCCACGAAGACACTCTCAAATTCACGTAATTCTCCCCTATCTCTCTCCAAACTTACGTCTTTTCCACCGCAATCTTTTCTTTTCTCTCTCTCTCTTTCCAAACTTTTGTCTTTCCCCCAATCTTGGTCCAAACTTTTGTCTTCTCCTGTGTCACTCCAAACTTTTGTCTTTTCCATCACAATCTTTTCTTTTTTCTCAAACTTTCGTCTTTCCCCCTATCTCGCTCCAAACCTATTCTCTATCTCACTCAATAGTTTCATATCTAGGTCCAAACTTCCATCTTTCCCTCTATATGTATATCGCAGTCCAAACTTTCGTCCCTTCATTCTTACATTTGTGTGGTCTTCTGTTGTGTAGATTTCGATTGTATGCATCGTCACCTGACATCAACACTGAAGGTACATACGCAAGTATTCAGTATTGCACAATGTATGTTAGTCATTATATTATAGTGCTATATACTTGCTGTGCTATTTCGTGCTGTATGCACTGCCACGTGGTGTCGTGGTGCAGGTTTCAGGAATGTCGTATGTGCCAAGACATCGTGTTCGTTTGGCACCATCTCCCTCTCCCTCCTCTACCTCCACACCATCACCCTCCCCGACAGGTATATAGGTGTACTGTGGAGCAACTCTCATACAGACACTAATAGGACGGAAGAAAGTGTCCATAATATTTATGTTAGCGAGATATCCTTATTTCAGGGGTTGCAATAACTGTTCTGGGGGGGAAATAAGTGTCTTATTAGAGTAGTGTCCTCATTTCATGTGTGTCCTAGGAGAAGAGGGTGCCACTGCAATGGGAAAGATATCAAAACCTCTTGGGCCTGATTCAGCCTTTGCTAACTTTTCAGGCAAGATGTGGTACGGATCAATTTCAAAAGCACTTTCGCTTGAAATCACTCTTTTATTGTGTTACAAACTGCTCAATTACCTAATAAAATTGCTCATCTTTCTCTCATCCCCCCTCCCTCAGACCTCTACCAGAACCGTCGTCCATTCACGAAGTCTTATCTCCTCGATCTATCTCTATTGACAACCACTGGTACACATTACATAACCACTGTACAGGTGTTAGCTAAAGCAGGGAACCAGGACCCAGTTGGGGTCAAGGTATATAAATTTTGTCTCTCTCTCTCTCTCTCTCTCTCTCTCTGCAGTGACAAACCCTCCCTCCCCCTTTTCCCATTCACCTCTCACCCCACCAGTGGGTGTGGCACTAACACCACAGACCACACCCCTTTCTTCTCTACCATCCTTCCTCGGAATGAAGAGGACTTTGAGAGAGAGGAATCCCACGACACTCTGGTCAGATGATTGTCACATGATACTCACATGACGTAATGATTGTCACACGATACTTACATGACTCTGGTGTAACCTGGTCATGTGATGTACTTTAGCTAGTCTTGTATGTGATGCCAACCAGAATGTGAAAGTGTTGAGCCATAGACGATGCTTTGCTGAGACATCGTTCAAACGGATTGTGTTCAGTTACTTTATACGTATGTTACTAAGAGTCTTGTTTCCATGATGTGTATAATGTCACAAGACTGAGTTTTGAGTCACGAAATATGTTATTGGTTACCCAATGCATAGTACGCCATAAGAAGAACAGGTTATGAACATGGGTTACGGGCTTAGAACAATGGAAAATGCTGATCTTAATCTATAATGAAGAACCAGCCACAAAGCCTGACACCCTATGTGATTGGAGTGGGTGGTGACTGTGAGGGTGTGTGTATGTGTTGTGTTGTGTTGTGTTGTAGATTGGAACCCCTACCAGCTGAGTTGCCCTGGTGGCTCAGTTGGTAGAGCACTCGCCTAGACTGCAGAGTGTCGTGGGTTCAAACCAGCTGAGTTGCCCTGGTAGCTCAGTTGGTAGAGCGCTCGCCTAGACTGCAGAGTGCCGTGGGTTCGAATCCCACCTAGGGCAGCTCTTTATTTTTCCTTGGAAAAAAAGAATCCCACCTAGGGCAGCTCTTTATTTTTCCTAGGTGTAGTTGATTTGTTTGTTGTGCCTTTGCCTTTCTACCTCATATAGTTTTCACATGCGTGTGTCCTCCATTAGACCAGCAGTGATGGAGGAGGGACAGAAGGTGATGTGGACCCATCATCTCTACCTACAGCAGAGCAAGAACAAGATGGCTACATTCTCGTGGACCTAAAGCATATCGTGAGCCCCTCTAATAATACAGCATCAGGCAGAACCCTACATCTGATAGATATTCCTTTATTTCTCTCCCTCCTTCCTCTCTCTGAGTATATCTGCATCTCTCTCTCTGTGTTTATGATTATGCAGAAGCCAACGTTTGCCCCTGAGACCCACATCGATGAGTTGGGCCAGTTTCTCCAGAACTGCAGAGATGTTCCACATCTCGACCTCTTCTCTGGCGACAACACCATGAACCTCCATGCTGCCATGGTAATGATACGCTTCTCTCTTTCTTTCTTCAACTGTTTACTAGAAAAATGTGCTTCTCTTCTCTCCACACTACAGAGGCTGATTGATGAGAGGACCTTGAACATTGATGGACACGCTAAATCAGTGGACTTATCATAATAAAATAATATACGCTCATTATGTCATCACACATGATGACGCGCGGCTAGGTAATCTGCGCATGCGTACTAGCTTTCGCGCGCGAGAACCGATGCAGTTCACGATCATGGCAACAGACACGAAAACAGCGACAAGAAGACATCATAATTTTATGCAAATCAATGTCTACTTGTGACAAAAGCAAGATCAGATCTCTGGGAATAGGAACACGTTTCCATTTTCGCCTAAGCGACCGACTACAGTTAGTGGTCGCAGCCGCGTTGTTTGCTCTTCTCGTCGTCGTCTATATATAGCTGGCTGCACGATTCTCGCTGCTGATATCAACTGCATTCAGGACTAGTATAGATGTCTTCCCCTTCGTCCCGCGCGTGGATTATCATCGCCATCTTCTTCTTCTGCCCTCTCACCGGAGCCCCCTGTATGTCGCACACATTTTTGTAGTGAAGCTTTCTAGTATGTAAATTCATGGTGCATAGCTAGCTACATAGCTGCAAAAGCTATCGTAGTACTGTTTTTCCACCGACAGATCCTGAACCGACTCCTCTAGAACAGATGCTCAGCTTCAGTTTGGAGGAGACGCTGTACGCGGTGAACGAAGACAAGGGATCTCTAGAGATATGTGTCACTGGAGAATTGACGGGGGATTCTGCCCAGCTTTACTTCGTGGATGGCTCTGCGACAATGAATGGTATAGCTACATGTTGCAGTGACTACTAAAGTCTATTTCTCTTTGTTTGCTGTGTGCCAAACGTTCCACATAATGTATATATAACTCAATGCAGGATAATATCAATGCTTCTACTGTCTTTATTCTGTCTTTTTATATACCTCCAGTGGATTATAAACCGCCAGGAATGGTAGCAACTCTACTATTTGCACCAGATGCCAGCAGGGGTAGTGGAGAGTTAGCCAGTGGCTCAGGCATTACTGACACCCAAAACCTCACGTCCACACCCCAGCCGGGATTACTGACACTAGAGCGTCGGTGCGCTATTGTGGAGATAGTGGACGACTCTATAGCTGAGCCCAGGGAGAGCTTCACTGTCGTCCTTGACTCCAGCATCAACATAGGCACCAATGTTGCTGAGGTTCACATCATTGACAATGATGGTGAGCTGTTGTAATAATTATGCATCAAAATTAATGAGTGTTCTATACTCCAATGTTCACATTATTATACGACTTCTTCCTCCCACCTCCCATGCACCTCTCTCTGCCCAGTGATAGTGATAGGTCTGGAGAAGACAGAGTACACTGGCTATGAAGGGGAGGATGTCATGGTGTGTGTGACCGTGGAGGAGGGAGGAGACATGGACAGTGTTCCGTTTGACTTTGTCATCACCTCCGTGCCTGACACACCGCTCTCTGCACAACCATCCTGTAAGACTAACCATTATATCTTGTTTTTTGCTAACTTGGTTCAAGTATAATTATAGTGGCTGGTAATGTAAAGTTCTCTGAAACTTTTTCACCTCAAAAGACTTTTTTAATGGCTCTGATTTTGTGCTCTATTACTTATTGGGTTCAGGATAAAGCCAAGGTCTAAATTTAATAGGTTAATAAGCCATCCTCTCTAATGTAATACGGTAATACTGTGTCTCCATCTCTGTCTACAGTTGATTACGTGATATCGGTAGGGGAATACCCGTTTCTCTCCGGGCTCCCCGACACGTGTCATAACATCACGATACTCGACGACGAGCTAGCTGAACCCGTGGAGACCTTTAGGATGGAGGTCATCCATCAAGACGAGCAATTGGACTCGATAGAGATCAGCACCAGCTCTGCGGTAGTCCACATCATCGACAATGACAGTGAGTTACGCTGCTACAAACCAAAAAGATCCAAAATGGAAGGGTTCCATATCAAGGAAATATAAGTTGTACTTGATTCCAGGCTTTTTCTCTAAATCAAAGTTTTCAGATGTAGCTATTATGCATAACCGCCCTTCTGCTCTGTGTTAACATGAGCTGTCTCTTCATTTGTTTCCATTTTTCAGCTCTTATTTTTTGGTTTTCTCTATCTCTCATCTCTCCACAGATGTGACAGTCTCCCTGGCAGAGGCTCAGTACACTGTTGGGGAAGAAGATGAAGAGGTGACAGTCTGTGTCCAGTTGGAGGAGGGAGCTCTGGGTGGTATAACTGCCACCGTCGACTACCAAATACTGCCTGGCTCAGCATCACTTGGTAAGAGAATGTCTAATAATAAATAATGTCTGCAAATGAATACACATGCTTTTTATTAACGTCAAAACTTCTGCTTCTTATTCATCCTCGCCCTTCTTCACTTGTGCAAGCCTCCAGTCAACTACAATACACCCCCCCTATCTCCCCCAGCTGACTACCTTGGTCCGAGGGTTGGTAGTCTGTCACTAGGACCAGAAGCGGTGACAGGAGATACAGCATGTCTCACCATCCCTCTGGTGAATGACAGCATTCCTGAGTCACCGGAGACACTGACACTCTCGATACGACCTTCCTCTGCGTTTGTAGTGATTGGAGCCAACAGCTCTGCTACCATCACCATAATTGACGACGATGGTAGGCGCCTTCCCCTGTACTCACACACACACTCTCTGATTGTACCAGTAAAAAGTGAAATCTACAAGTTAGCAATGGGCTATTTGCATCTACTCTGTAAGCAATATTCACTATAATTTAGGCATTAATTTTTCACTGAAGATCACAACATGCCTTTTATGCCTATTCCCACTACAAACATAAATGCCCAATGTCCTCTTTCTCTTCCGCTATATACTACTGAAGGTGTATTAGCAGTGGTGGGTATGGAGTCAGTGGAGTACATGTTCAGTGAGGGTGATGGTGTGATAGTGGTGTGTGCCGTGCTAGAGGACGGAGACCTTGGGAGCATCTCTGAAATCCCTTTCTCCGTCGAGGATGATACAGCCAGTGGGAATAGTGAGACCCACAGTATAAGTGTCACAATTCCTAAACATCTTCATGGTGTGTGTGTGTGATAGTTTCACATGCACCAGAGACCCCTCTCTCTCTTTATTACTGCTACAGTACCACCTCACTCTTCAAACCATGCTGTATATCGTTCCTATTACTAAGGTTTTACAAGTCAACTCTCTCCTTTTCTTTTTCTATTCTCTCCCTGCCCATCAGTTACTCACAATGTAATAACATGCCTCTTATTTTATTACTAAGGCTGTACAAGTCAACTCTCTATTTATCTACTCTCTGACTCCCCCCTCCTACCCCTCTGCTACCTTTCTGTCTTTTCCCTATTCTCCCCTCCCTCCCTTACTCCTCACCATTTTTCTCTCTCTCTCTGACTCAATGGCTATTTGTGCTGCAGTTGACTACCTGCTACCGCAGACACTCGTCTTCAGGTTTCCACTAATGTCTCCAGTAGGGCAGCCAGCATGCGTTGAGTTCACTCTAGTCAACGACAATATTGTTGAAGATATGGAGGACATTTGAAATCAGACTCACCCCTCTACCAGGAGTGACTGTTGGGACCAACGGCTTTGCTTCTGTTACCATTGTCGACGATGATTGTAAGTCCACCCACCCTTACCCCGATACTCACATGTGTGTCCAAAATTAATGTCAGGGATGACGGTTTCAAAATAATATACAGGTGCGACTTTAATGCAGCCCATTCTTACTATAGTAATAGCTAAGAATTTGTGCCACTTTATCATGTTCGGGGGTGATCAAATAATGTAAAGGGGGTGGTGAAGTTCTTGCATCATATGCGTGAAAGGGGCACGAGTTCATAATAGGCCATCTGCTCTATGTGTATGTATTCCACTGCTTGTCTACTATAGCCTATAGTGTCTCTTGAGACAGTCTTCACTCTACAAAAGTTTGTCTCCTCCCCTCTTGCAGTTGTAGTGGTCTCCTGGACCCAGGGGGCTACCGCAGTAGACGAGGGCTCTGGGGCTGTGTCTGTGTGTGCAGAGATAGTCGACGGCCAGCTGGGAGTGTCAGCCAGTGTAGCACTCTCCACTACCTCTGAATCAGCCTCTGACTCTGGTAGAGTAACTACCTAACTTGCAGAAAGACATGTCGCAAAATAATTCCTCCAATAAGGGACCCTCTGAGATAGGGATGACCTCTCTACAAAGGACACTTGTTTTAACCCCATGCTAATACTCTAGTGTATTATTTGACCTCTGAGATAGGGATGACCTCTCTACAAGTGACAAAATCGTTGGTCCCACGTGTCCCTTGTTCAGAGGTTGTAGTCTCCTGGCCATTTCGCTTCTCCATTCATGCATGCACGTGAGAATACAGGGGGCACTTATACAGGGGCACTCTTATGCAGAAAGGAAACAGCTACTTGGGCAAGATAGCTAAAGCATTTGCCATTACAAAATACAGGAGACTGCCGTCGTGTACAATACCCGATGCATGCAAAACGTGGCTTTGAGAATTGTAGCCACTTGGATAATGTACAGTATATACAGTAGCTCTTGCAGTACTTTTTACTTCATCCTAATTTCTTCTTCTTCTTTGCTCTTTCTCTGTCTCAGTCGACTATGAGCCACTAGTGGGTGAAACCCTGTCATTTGGACCAGGAGATCGCGAATCATGTGCCACCATCGTGATAATAGACGACGACGTCACCGAGCCTATGGAGTCATTTGTTGTCTTCTTTGAACCACTGTCACTATTTGTGACCATTGATAATGGAGGCGACATGTTTTTACAAGTCACCATTACAGATGATGACAGTAAGTTATACACACACAACTAACAATTATTATTTAAGTATGGGAGTTGATGATCTGTATTAATTGGGATACCACCTGGACCATTTTATCTTGCACATTGGATCTGAAATGCAGACACAATGCAAGCATCAGCTAGATACAGGTGTATTTTACCTCCTATTGTATAGGATCAGCTGGGATGGATACACACATATCCATATCTTTGCAACAATTACATACCCATGGACGATTTACTGTATTAGTATATGTGAGGGGGCATGGGAAAAGGGACCTATATGGCTGGAATGTGAAAATTAAGTTTTTGTGGTGTTTCACCCTCAAAAACTTTTAATTTTCACATTCCAGCCATATAGGTCCCTTTTCCCATGCCCCCTCACATATAAAGTGTCACATTTGAAACATCAGTAGTATGGTAACACTCTGTCTGTCTGATTCTGCAGAGATTGTGGTGTCGCTGACTCAGGAGACCCTGTGACTGATGAGAGCATGGGGCGTGTGATGGTGTGTGCGGTGATAGTGAGAGGAGAGCTCGATGGGACCACTGCCACTCTGGCACTGTCCACTCTCGATGGCTCTGCCATTAACACTGGTGCTGCGTGCTGATTCAAATATTTCTGTTATGTAGCTAGTATATACCGGGTACCAGGCTAAGGCTAGTATTAATAGCAGATTGTATATATACTAATATTGTTTGTAGTCGGAGAGAGAGCAGAAAGGATTCAGTGTAAACCAATTGTGTGTGCATGCCCCATAATTCTTAATAGTTTATATCGCCAAGGTTTACCATATATGAATGCCCCTAGCCCCTTTCAAAAGACAAAAGACTGAGACCGATGCTATATTGAATGTCACATTCTATGTACCATATCTCACGATAAGACTCAGACTAGCTATATGTACTTGTGATAAACAGTTTTATATATTTTCCCCACCAGAGGACTATGTGGCTGTGGACTCAGAGCCCCTGTTGCTGGGACCAGTGGCTGTAGCTGGAGACAGTGTCTGTGGGACTGTTCCACTGATTGATGATGAGATATCTGAACCGATGGAGTCATTTTCGGTCACACTAGAGTCTGAGTCCAACAACACTAGTGTTGAGGGCACTTCCAGGGCCAGAGTTACAATTCTCGATGATGATAGTAAGTCTTTTGAGCCGTCATAGCAACCAAGTGCAGTAGCTACCAACAAGCTAAACATTAGTACAACACACGTGCACACACACAGTTGCATACACACACATGCACACACACACACATGCAGAGAGACAACAAGATGTAAGACTCTTCTGCACTGCTGCTAGACATTTTCCCAAGAGTAATTTCTTTCCCGCTCTGCAGTTACTGCTGCTGAAGTAACAGATGTGGTGTCAGCTGATCCTCTGTTCAAAGTCCACACATACCTTAGTTCAGACTCACCTTTGAACTCTCCACTGGCCCTCTGCTACCAGGTCCACGGGGACGGTAACACTTACTATAACATTCTCTCTACATCATACGTGTCACTCAATGGCCTGTGGACTGCTGAAACTGGTACTCTTAACATCCTCACTGAGATATCCGTCCAGACTATCTCACGCACTGGTGAATGCTATCATATTCTTGTGGAACTCGAAGAATGTACCGTGAGCATTAACGGAGAGAGTTTCACAAGTAACAGTCTCCACCTTCTAAATTCCAGCGAGGGTGGGGTGCTTGTTAGTAGGGATGATGACAAGGTCGTGGTAATTAGAGTACCAGATGGGGGAAGCGGAGAGGGACTGAGGGTGGAGGTAGAGTGCGAGTCAAGGAGGGTATTTGATGGAGAGGAGGAGGTTGAGACACCAATGCTGCTGCTGAGAATCACCCGCAAGTTGTCTCTCTCTGGAGTGGCCCACGGACTACTGGGTCTGTTTTCAGCCACACACATTAGTAGCTAGCTAGCATGACTATTGTCATTTGATAAGTTAGCCTTTCTTGAAGATTTTGTGAAGTCTTGCTACAGTCCATTGCAACATTTAGTTAATTGTCCACCCCCCTTAAAGTATATACCATTTCTTTCTGCACAGAATGGCTAGCAGCATTTGAAATCCTGACATTGTTCCCTGCTACTACTAGTGCATGCACTAGTAAATATTATCGTTGATTCTGCAGGTCAGTTCTACCATCGGATTATAGAGATAGAGCCTCACTCAGACTCTGACCCTGACACCTACTACACCGTGACTGTCCCTGAGAGGGAGAGAGCCAGCAGAGAGACAGTTCTGGGGAGACTCTACCATCTGGACTGGAACCACAAGCAGAGCCCCATGTCTCTATGTTGGCGATAGCCAGGTGGACCTGTCATTTCTCGGCTTGTATCGCGACTATGCAGTGAACAATACATTCTCAGAGGAAGGCTACCGGTCGGAGTGTTCAACAGTGACAACTGTGTGATTTAGTGGCACCATTACACATCGTGAATGCCCTCTTATGGGGGTCCACCACTCACTGGTCTGAGATTACTCGCCTGCAACTGGCGTGATGTGAAGATTGAACATATTGTTTCTGTGTCCAGATTGCTTTCATGTTATTTTAAATTGTGCATGGTTGTGAAGAAGTGATATATCTCATGACAATCGATACTATTAGGGCTGCATACATGTGCGTGTTGAAAAAGTAATGTTTTAGTTTTAGCTCAGTGTATTGAGAAAGGACAATACTGAATACTTCGCCCCAATCCCCATGCTGAGGAGAAGGGGGAGGTCCCCCGCGCGGTTGTAAGTCGCGTGATGTAAACAGTGTCGACGAACGCATGCATGTTCGCAGCGCAGCCGCCTAGGGGTGCCATTTGTGTCAATATTATTTTCTGCTGACATTTATCACGAGAGCTGATATTTAATTACTTGTAATGTCTAGCATACATGAAAATATCAGAAGTAGCGGACGAAAGAGAGTTGATAATCTGGTCTGGGTCTGAGAGAGGCGTGAGAGAGAGAGAGTATAGTGATATGAAGTAAGAAACATCCATGGTGGCACCACAGACGATGGCAGATGCCTGCTGAAACTGTGGTCTGTTCAATTCGCGATAGAAGAGGCCTGTAGAGAGTCCATACACGAGGTCCATAATCAAGTGCCATCCATGACGTGTCTGTGGCTATTCGTGATGCAATCGCTATACTGTTGTGACGGCTGGCCTCGGTGGTGCAGGCCTCCCAGTCTGCCTGTAATACTTCTCGCTTATCTCTGTTAGAGTTGATGGGCGTTGGGCCACTGAGCATGGCATCGTAGAGCCTGACAGGAGAGCTACCCTCCGTAGCTCTTGGGATTCAGATGTCAGTCATTCTGTACTGCAAAAGTTTGCACAGTATAAATTTGCTCTTGTAAAGTAGCTCAAGAGCTACTAATGGTACGTATGTCGTCAGCATGGATGATGCACCCGCATACGTATCACCAATAGAAGGGACCCATGCCTTTACTTTGTAGAGATTTCAGTAGGGGATCCATAATCAGCAGGAACAGAACTGGGGAAGGACAGAGCCTTGGAGAACTCCACGCTCTAGAGTGAACATGGAAGACAGACAGCCATCGACCCTCACCATGCTCTTTGAGATGAATAGCTACCAGCTTTGCAGATGAATACCAGTTTCGCAGCAACCTCCAAGCCCCGCCGTCAAGTATAGCTCTGCACAGAGACACCTTGCGGTAGGCTGTCTGATTGAGATGTGGTTAACCTTTCTCTGAGAAATGACACTGCTGCCGTGTTAGTATGAGTGACTCCAAAACTTTGGCAAGCACTGATGTAAGCGTGACTCCTCGTAACTGTGTGTATCGAGAGGATCCATCTTATCGTCTCTTGTTCTGAGCAGCACATGACCGAAGAGTGCTCTGTGTTGCAGAACTAATTGCCCGAAAATGTCTTCCATGCGCGGTTTTGTCCGCAGGCCACTTCTTGGTTGACGCACGCAGTGATGGACTTCAAACGTGTTTTTTGGTGAAGGAAACCCTAAACCGACTTGAAGACTTCTGTTTGTCAAAACGTTGATTCTCTTCCTTTCACTATTGGCAGTCGCAGATTGACCTCATCCTCTTTCTGAAATCACTTTTTTATTTCGCGCCCTGGGCAACCATTTTGCCTGTCTGCGCATGCGTGATTTGTTTCTCAAGTCAGCAGTCTCTTCGCTGATGAGAGGACTGACGCTCTTCGCAGAATGTCACTAACTCTTTGGGTCCACGCAACTACCCTCCTTTTCTGTACCTTCCTTCAGCAAGGTATAGCAAACTAATAAGACGCTGCTTAGCTCATATGTCGTGCCGATGATCGATGCCGTTTCATATTCCTGCACAGCTATCATTGGATCACTGCTTACATGTGTAGCTAAAGCTTTATTTTCCAGTCACCGCATCCTTCGCTGCTGTGTTAGTTCCAAGCTACACGTGTGCTGCACGTGTGCTGCTGCAGGAAGATTATAAGTATAACTTGATGGGAGGACTACAACTACATGAAAAAAACTTGTTTCCGCAGCACTATCTGCGAGTGTATATACTACACTAGTGCATATTTGGAGAGCGGGAGCGATCCAACTAACGGTTGTGTGCGTGCGTGCAATAGTGGTTAAGTTGTTCATAACATCACAGAGTTGCCGTACAAAGAGAGAGGTAGCTATATTTGTAGATCGGCAGAGGTAATCATGCCAGGGAATCTCTCCAGTGCGAGGTACACGCAGGTACCGACCACCCGCAAATCTGGCATTTGAGAGTGACTTGGTCAGTTTTGAACGAACCACAAAAGCAAGACGATGTTCCTCCATCCGGCAGACACGGATCGCCTCAATAGTTGGCCGCTCGTTTCTGAAGCGCGACGATGTATGTCTCTCTCTGCGCCGCGCCTAGCCTAGCCTAGCGGCTCCCCCTGCTTTCCATAGTGACGCCGGTTGAGCTCGTATGCTCCGTCACGATTTACAGCGACCTACGTATAACGTTGAGAAATGGAGAATCAAAATGGTGTATAGTGAGAGTCAATGTATCACCGTGTCAAACAAGGTCTAGGGTATGTTACGAAAGATCAACATGTATGTGCGAGCGTTCAGTGTTAAAGACGTTCCGAGTTCAGAATGCAAAACCACAGATATTTCAAGACTCGACTAGTCTTTTATATCACCCTCCAGAATATACACCATAATCCTCAACGCTTCTCACAGTTTGTCCGTGCTTCACTACCATGGATGTCAGGTTGATAAACCATTTTGGATTATTGCACCACGACTACGTTGGCAGGCTCTGCACAGACTGTCCCACGCTTCACACTGGACGTGGTTGTGGTTCTGGTAGTGTGGCGGGAACAGGTTTCATCACACTTGGCCTGCCTGGACGCATGGCTGATACTCTCACTCATTCAGACCTACAGATGGGCCACGAATCAATGCTTACATGTTATGGTAAGCTACTGCACTGGCATCAGTGTGTTTGGAACGTGTTAAACCTTTTTTGGTTCTATCAGGGTTGGATGGGTACAGGAATAGCAACAGTGATTTGCCATCAGCTGAACCTCAAACTGAAGTGACTGACTGCTGGAAGGACCAGGACTGTCACTCTCACACTTTCTACAC